TCTTCGAGTTGGCTCGTTCTTTTCCCCCGTCTTTCAGCCAACTCAATCAACTTCGGCCTCAAAGCGCACCACTTCCGCTAGTTGAGAATCAAAGCGACTCTGCATTAAGAAAGTTAAAAGTCCTGCCGGCAACTCTATCGACCCGCGATCCCTGGCATTCACAAGCTTGCAGAGCTCACCAGCCTTTTGCCGGGATGGAAGGTCTGCAGGATTAGACGGAGATGGAACCCTCTCCATCCAAGCAGCAAAAGGAGTCTCGGTGTCAATTATGGAAATCGCACACAAAAGCAAAAACATGGCCGTCGATGGACTGCTGCGTTTGATGAGGCCAAGTCGGCATGCCTCATTATCAATGAAACATATCCCACAGCGGGACGCCCAACTTTTCCTGCAGGCCCACCTGACACAGAGATAAGCATACATTTCCACTTCACAAATTATTTGATCTCCAACTGTCTTCAGCCAAAATTCAAGCAATGGAGTCGGTACCCAACCATGGTACACTTCTCGAACGCCAGTCGCCGGATCCATTACCAGCGCCCCCCAAGCTCCTTCCCGCGCTTCAAATGCACCATCGGTGTATACCACAATGGAGGGCAAGTCACGGTCCATGGCAATCACTCTTGGCTTCGAAGCATCAATCAAAAATTCTATCATGTCACACATTTCATGAGTTGCAGCAGTGGAAAGGTTCGCACCCATCGACCATTTGGACAAGGCATGAGTTGCTGGCTTCAACGCATGTCCCAGCACAAACCCTCCACAAAAGTTGAGAATGCCTGCCAATGAAGCTGCAACTGAACGCGCGCCGCTTTCAAGTTTCCGAAGTTCAGTCGTCAGTGCTTTAACCCTGTCGCGTCTGCCAGGTTTGTTTTGTACAGTCAGCTTACCTTCCCACAACTCTCCAAGATTGTACTGTATTCCCAATGCCTGCATCTCGACAGAAAAGTCAGTGGCCTTTTTGCCCTGCACTGCATGTTTCCATCCAAGTATGTTGAAGAAAGTATCCAGCGCCTTGGCCGTTAGGGCCGTCAGGGGCTCGACCTCAAAACAAGGAAAATCGTCGTAGAATACACTCGTGAGTATATGAAGACCATGTACCAGCAAATGCCAAATTGCTCTGGAAACCTTGTTGAACGCAAAAACCGAAGCACTGGCCCCAAAAGGAAGCGATTGTGTGGTGTAAAGACGCCAGTCTCCATCCTCCGCTTGGTAGCCAAGCACTCCGTGCTTCAAAGATTCAGTAGCCACAGCAACTTGCTTGTAGGCCTTTGAAAGGTCCACGCAACGTCCCAAGAGCTTCGGCTTCGGCCCCAGAGACGCGTGCCATCGCCCTCTCAAGACAGTACCATCTGACATAGGTACCAGTACTTCAAAGCCATTGCACACAACCCACATGAAAAACCGCAGAAATCCAATCACAAAGTCAGTGTCGTGAAGAGCAAGGTAAGAGGAGGAAGAGAAAGCACCATTCACTCCGCTGTCCCTGTAGTTGTCAATAATTCGGATTTTACGCTCTTCACCTTGATACAAAGCAAATCTTTTTGACAGACTCCATTGCTCAGAGCCCACCAGGTCCTCAATTTCTTCCTGGGCAAAAGGCCCAGACAAAAAGCCAGCCTCCACTTCTGCACGGCTCTCTGTTTCCAAATCGGCCGCTTGCGTGCGCTCATCATCTGACATTCCTTTGCTCAACATGGCTTTTCTGCGCCATACAGCTTGATGGTCCAGTTGTTGAGGAGTCAGCATGGCCGGCTTATACTTTTTGGAGTAAAGCGGGGACTCTGGTTCACCGCCTGTCAGTGGGACGCCTTGTTCCATGATATTGCAAACCTCCATATCTGGGAATCGTGTTTCTTCCAGGAGCTTTCTAAACAAGCACAAAGGTTTACCTTGCGTCACCCGGTCCACATGTCTCGGCATCCCCTTGCGGAGTTCCATCTCTTTATCAGTCAGAGCTTTCTTTGTGTTCAGCATGTGTGTCAAGTAGTCAGTGCGTTTCTGCGCCAAAGCGTGCAACCCTTCAGTGCACAAAAGAAAAATATTGTATCGCAGTCCATCTGGCACCAGTGAAAATTGGGACGCAGGGTGTTGCAATCGCATGGCAAGCTTGACATGTTCTTCAGGAGAAAAGTAAAAACCAATCTTGTAAAGGCTTTCATTCATTTTTGTTTCCTCACCGCTCCCGACAGCTTTGTCATCTGCACCTTTGTCAGTGTCCCCCGTACGCCAAGGTGTTTGCAAAATTTTGCAAGGAGGAGCAGTAGGAGCTTCCGGAAGCCACTCAATAGCAGCGTATTCTGGGATGAGAGAAGGTTGCAAACGATGCTGGGTTCCGGCTTGTTGTAGGATATGCAACCGAAATTGTTTCCATGTATTTTGCAAAAAGTTGTGTGGCAATTTTTGCACTACGCAACTCACCATGCGCTGCACCAGTACTTTGGGGTATACAGCTTCGTCTGCCGTATCAAATTTCCAAGTTCCATGAGTTTTGCGGACGCCCCAACTGGCATGGGAGTGAGCGTTGTCGCATCTGATTCCCAAAAGATCAAAAACCTTGGGTGAAGCTTTGAGTTTGGTGGCTTTTGGAAAAACACCACCGTGCATGCAAGCGTCAAACGTGATGTCCGACAAAGAAAAATACCATTGCTGATATGCTAAATCGTTGCGTTGTTTGACCAATGCTGCCAACAATGCCCAAAGCCATGATCGCTCAGGGTTTTCGACTGAAAGAAAAATATTCAGCAGGAAGCATGAATAAAGCAAAACTTCAGCCGTCATGTAAACCTGATTTGCAGCATGAACACGCTTCGACTCAGATTCAGACAGATTTGGAAGCCCAAACAAATGATCAGGGCCTCGAAGTGGGCGCGGATTCGGCGCCCCTGCCGCACGGAGAGCCTGACTGACAGGCCGTTCCCTCGCTCTGGAGCATGTGCCGCAGGGAAGCCCCATATGGCACCATGTAGGCCGCACGGTTTCAAAAAGGTGGGGCAAAAGTTGCCTGGAGTCAGGATGTGCTAAGTCTATGACCAAAATGGCTGCTGCAGCACGAAACCTGTTGTGTGAATGATCTATAGGAAAAATTTGAAACCCTTTCCTTTGAGCTTCTGCTGACAAAACCGCGCTTCCAGCGCAAATTTCCACCATCACTGCAACGCTAGGACTTAAAGGTGCATCCGGAAGTTGCGAAGGTCAGTGGCTGCATTCAATGTAGGGTCTCTTTTGGTTGCACCCCTTATAATAGCACATATGCAAGCCTATGTTGCATGACGAGCTCTTCTGGCGGCGACACGTGCCGTTGTTAAAGTGCAAACAGATGAACTTGCCAGCTTCTGTTTTGGAGACACAATCAGGAGGCATCGAGCTCAGGAGGTCCTTCACTGTCTTGCCACCCGGCTCTGTTGTTCGTCTCTGTTTGTTCTTTGGGAAAGGCTTCGGTCCTGCTGCATCAGCTATGGGCCTCTTTGGCCCTGGTGTGTTCTGCTTTGGTTCTGCAGGCTGAGGTTTGGAAGGCTGGGCATGCGCTTGTCCAGGTAAAGGAGTCATGAAGCACAAGACTTGTGGCGATTCACGTAACTTGCCAATCAGCTTGTCCAAGGGAGGCTCAGCACCAGCCGAAACTTTCAAATTACCACGGCTGTCTTGAGACATAAAGGACCACAGTTCCCGATCCGCATTGAGCACCTGTTGCATCGTCACATACTTGTGTCCACTTGGTGGCAGCCTCATAGTTGCATTCATCATCTGGTTGTGCCACTCCTCCAAGCGGTTGAACGAACATAGTCCAGCCTGGTCGCATGCCAATGCCTTTCGTGTGAGGGCCTGTCTCAGTTTCAGTTCTCCTGAGGTGTCGCAGGACAAGTCAGCAGCTCGTTTGGTAACCTTCAGGTTGCCTTGGGAATCAAAACTGACCTGCTGCTCAGTCTTCTGGTTTTGTATTTCGTCATGCCGTGACAAACACTTCTCAGGAGGAAGGTACTGCAGGACACCATCCTCGATCATGGCGTGAGCCTTGTCTGTTAAGGCATGGGCTGGTTCCAAAAATTGGTCGAACACTAAGCCAGGGTAGTCCTTCTTCTGCTTTGCAATGCGGACCATCCTTTCGGCCAAAGGTAAAGCCTTTGGAGTGTCCAATGGAGTCTTCTTGACTCGCTCTTCCAGTTCAGTCATGGCAATTGTGTAAGATTCAAACCAAAGCTGTCGAAAGGAGATCATGTCAACTGAATTCACCTCACTTCCCAAAAGATCTTCAATGGCCTTTTTGAGCTTCGTGTCATCTCCAGAAGAAGGATTGACCGCACAGACATATGCCAACTTGCTGAAGCTGTTAAGGCCAGCTGAAATCAAAGCCTCAATTGTGTCATCAGCTATCCCAATCTCCAGAGCTCTAGCTTTGAAGCTAGCTTTGGATTCCATTGGTCACTGCATGCGCACCGGTCAAGGTGAAAGATAAAGCAAAATGCAGTTCGTGGAAACAATGCAGATGACTTCACAGAAACAGTTAAAGCCTGAAACTATCTCGGAAATATGTCGAGTGCTAAACCTGTTCACCAGTCAAGTCAAAACTTGCTGTACAAAAATCACCAACCCAAATGGAGTTGCAATACATGATTGCCAAAGTCTTGATTCAAGCGTCTCACCTTGGATAAATTCCTCCAAGCCATAAAAAGGGGCTGACGTGTCCATTCATTCCCATGGACTTCCCAACGCTTTATCAACGTTCAAAATCACGGCAACCAAAACAAAAATCATTCGTCAGTGTAATTAAATGGACACCTGCACCTGCACCACCTTCGTGGGCTATGTACAAACTCAGAAAATCAGATAGATCCAGCAAGGTTCAAATCGCTCACGTCACATAATCACGACGCAACATGGAAGCTCATGAAAATAATTGTTTCAAAATCACCACAATTAAGAGTAAAGTTTCACATGCAAACATGGTCCAATCGAATCTCACACGAGCCCTGTTTTTCTTTTGTGACAGAAAGGTTTATTCATAAGCCGCTCACAGCTCTGCATTGTTCGCAGAACTCCATCTGGCCAGGGTCGCCGAAAGAATCTTCCATTGGAATCATATTGCACGTGATCCGCCTGCCACAGGCCAGTTTCTCAACATCCGAAATCATGTGAACGATCCCTGAAAGTCGGTGCTTGACACAACACCCAGGGGCAATCGGAGGAAATGGGTTGCGGTAATGTGCAACTCTCTCACCAGGCAAAGCACTGGGCGTTTCACCAACTGCCGCGGCATCATCCACATCCGAACCAGCCATGTCAGCTGCAAAGTGCAGCTCTTCCGCAGCCAGGCGATTTTCGGTCTCGACTTCGATGTGAGATTTCTCAGCAATCGTTCGGGAGTCAAATGAGGCTCCAGTTGCCTGCGCGATACGTTCGGCTCTTGGCAAATCAGGGTCGAACAAACCCTTTTTGATCGCTTCCACCACCAAGCGCAGTTTGATGATTGCAGCTACGAGTGCATCCCTTGCATAAGTGACTGCCATCTTGCCTTCTTCAGTCTCATGATGCCCCAACCATAATCTCTCTTGGAGGGTCATGTTGCCGGCCTTTGACACCCAAGAAAGACATGTTGACTTCAATGAATGGGAGCTGTAAGCATTGGCGCTAACAGCATCCATTCCCAGCATCACCAACACATCTTTGACCCAGTAGCTGCCTTCAGCAGTCGTCATTCGGCGGTCCAACCAAACTTCTGCAAACTGTGAATCTGCGCTCATCAAGTGGCCCATAATGTCAGCACCAGAAGCCTTACGCGCTGCTCTCCAAGCCATGGCCCAACTGTTCTCGTCCAAGCCACATCCCAATGCAATTAGCGGCAACAAAATAGCCCGCCTCTCACCGGTGGCCGTCTTGTAACTGCTGAGCCCAATTTCAACCAGGGTCAAGTCCGAAGATGCAGCAACCTGGAACTGGAGCTCCCGAGGGTCTCCCTTGGCTGCGTCTCCGAATCGAGAGCAACTGTATATGCAAAATAGCATGAATCCAACAATTGTTCGGACCCTGTTGTCTGAGCTGGTTTGTAGGAAGCGTTCCATCCGGTACACATAGTCTGCAGGAATAGGTGGTGCTTGGGTCAGCTTGCGTTTGGAAGAGAACATCATATTCACCACGCCTCGGACCCGCCCTGACACCAAGGCTCCTTGATCTCCAGCGTCCACACCAAATGTGAACCTGAAAAATGACCAGGCCTGCAACAATGTGGCACCTGAGGTAGCGCCTGCTCCAGTCTCTTTCATGTGACAGAGATACCTGTAGAAGTCAGACTCACTGGGCTGCAATGGTCGTTTGTGGCAATCCGAAACCAAAAACTGGGCAAATTTGTTGTAGTCAGAAATGCGCTTCACGACTGTGCCCACTGCCTTGCTTGAAACACTGTCTCGCAGCGATCTCTGTAGATCATCTTCAGCAATCAAAGATCCAGCTTTGTCCAACAGTGCACGTCCTAATTGAGAGTCAGCTGGATGATACAGAAGAATGTTGCGCAACTTTCTCAAGGCCCCTGCCAGTAAAGCATCGTCTGTTTGGGCAAACCTCGCAGCTAAAAGCCTCTTGCTGGCGAAAGGCCTGTCACTTGCCCATTGGTTGAGCTGGTCCTCCACCATCTGAGCCACAGGGTGGAAAGCAGGTTTGTCAAACCTTCCCAGCAAAGGCAGTTTGAAGAGATCCACAGGCTTTGCATGGTTCCAAAATTGTTTGTGTGGCACTTCATCCCAAGGCATCTTAAATGACTCCTTGCGTTGTAATCTCAAAACTGCATCGCCAATCTGAGACTCCAATCTGTTGCAAGTCTCCAATTTCATGTTGCACTCATCGGCAATTGTGTCAACTGCAGCAGAAAAGGCAAGCTGGGCTCCGTGCGGTGTAGCAACACTGATACTTGCCAAACCAGTGCCACCTGCAGAATCAGACTTCCTGCGTTTGGAATGTTCCTGCATGGCCCTGGGCTCACCCAAGAGTCTAGGGATGCCTGCAAAATTGTTGTCACCGTCTTGCAGTTGAAAGCTACTTGAATCACCTGTTAACTCATTGTTCACTTCATTCAATGGTAATAGGTCCCAACCAGCTTCGGTTCCTTCCCCTGCATCTTGAAGCGGAGAGGTCGGAGACGCACCATCACTTAGGCTAGCAGGAGCCACAGAATCCATGCTGCACCAGAAAGAAAACCACTGCAAAAAATCAAGCAGCAAAAATGTGAATGCCAACCTGTTGAAGATGAAATCACAAGAGGCTTGATGGCAATGTGTCCACGTGAAGTGACACTGGGCCTACGGCGCATGCTCCACTGCAATAGGACTGGGCTGTGAACTGCCTGAGTCAGAAGAGTCACCTGGATCAGATCTGGGTCCAAACTGCACTGCAACCCTTGGAGTGGTAACTTGCCTGGCACCAATGCAGCGAAGAAATGAAACCACGCTAGTACAGCACCACTGATACCACTGTGAAGAGTCCAGAAATTCCAGGATGCAAGTTCTGATTGCAGCACAATAAAATCGAAATACAGAGAGTTCCAGACCAGTCTGCAACGGCAAGCGACGTGTCAAAGTCAGCGCAGGATATCCCCTATGGAAAAAAGTCTGGGAAAACATGCGCTGAACGAAAATCACCTTTGGATCTGCTGAGTTTCTTGTAGCCAAAATGTTACCACATTCCGAAGAGTCCAAAACAAACGTTCAACCCAAAAATCAATTCAGATGTATTAGTTTGAAAGAGTTGTCTTTCCGAATAATTGACATCGTCAAATCAGAGAGTGAAATATGCACCGTAAGTCTCCCGTTAAAAGTTTCAAAAATTTTAGAACCTTGTGTCAGGTCAAGTTTTGTCAGGAAACATCACAGGCATATATTCCATCACTCAAACGCGGCCCAGGCATCTGACATTCATTCTGACAAAATGCACCCATCCACACAAACAGACATCAATGCACAAGCCTCAGCCACGCATGCAGTGCACAACACGCGTGCGTTACGCAAGCTTCACCAGGGCAACAAAAACAGCGGGATCTGCAAGCAGAACCCTTACATTTTTCCTACGGACGCGACATAGTTCGACTCCGACCACATCTGCATTTTTTTGTTGCGGGGTCTAGCGGGTTTGGACACCCCCAAACTTGGAATCCTTTTCGATGATTCCAGAACTACCCCAAATTTTTCATGGGCTATTTGTTGAACTTTGAGGTCACTCTACCCATATTCTCTGTGATCGTGACGGTATCACCTTTGGCACATCAGTTTTAACGCATTTCTCAAAGTTTATATAAAAATTTTCTTTCAATGTTCTGAGCCTAGACGTAAAATCTAGATTCCCAAATTAAACCAAATAAACCAAACAGTTGAATGCACAGTCATACGAATGTTCCTTGCCATTGTCTTCACAGGCATCGCGCTTTTTCATCTGCTGGATATATCAAGCTCAATCATCAAACACGCAGGGTCCAATAGTTTTGAACCATTTATCCAAATGGCACACATCACCCATCTGGATATCTGATACACATGGGTCTGACCAGGAGTAGCAAAGTACAAGAGAATTTGAGAAACGCAGCAAAAGCCCAGTGGGGTATCCTGGAGACTCACTGAAAATCCCTGATCTGCAGTGCAGAGGAGAGCAAATGATTGTAATCCAATGTGAGGCTCCACGGACCAAGATGGTGGACACTTGGGTCGCAGTTCCCACAAAGCGAGGTCCTGCATCGGACTGACCAATGCCAGTTCGTGGACCACCAGGTTGATGTTGAGATTGTTGTGGAGGTCGAAAAGGATTCTGCTGCATTGAACAAACAAGTGAAGGCGCAAGCAACGTCACAGCCAAAGCACAAGTTATGGAGAGACCCTTCAAACAACTGAGCTGCGAAAACCAGAAGAGTTGTCACCATCTGCATTCACACGCAAAGTCAGGTCACCTTCTGGTCCAAAATCAGTGGAGTGAAAATTCTCATCTGCATGCTCCGGTAAACCATCCTCCAAAACAGTCTGCAATCGTCCGTCGTCCAAAACAAGCCGCTGCGTCTCACCATGTGCAGTCAACGCTGTTCGAACCAGTGGCATTGCATGTTTGGAAATCTGTTCGCGCTGTCTTGTCGTCCACACATCATCTGAAGGCAGAATTGTCGCTTCGTCCCCCAACAGAGTCATGTTGATCACTCCGTTTGACACGCCAGAAAATTCAACCGTGAAAGCTGCGCTGAACCGATTTCGCCATGAAGGACCTCCGGTCTGGCTCAGGGCAGTTGCCACGGTCTCGCCAACTGTCAAGGCGGCTGAGACAGAGTCCGCTGCCGACTCTCCCACAGCCGTAGTTGAAGTGTAAGGCACCAAAGCTTCGTTGTCATTGGGCTCATTGTGGGTTGCTTCATGCCTAGTGGACTGTAGAATGCCATATCCAAAACTGTAATCGCTCCAGCAATGAAACATGCGTGATCAAGAATTGAACGGCAAATCGTCCACCAGAAATCTCTGCAGCATCGGTAGCATCCTCGCCCAGGCTCAGCCATGGACTCCGCTACCAAGTCTGAAACTTGTTTTTTTCTTGTCCAACGCCTCTTGGCTTCCGCCACGTCGTTTAATGCGTTCAATTGCATGTTGCAAAAAAGTGAATTGACTAATTAATTTTTTTCCGCCCAACGCCTTCATGGCTTCCGCCAGGTCGTTCAACACGTTCAATTGCATGTTGCAAATTAGATTTAATGGGTTAATTAGCGCATACACATGGCCGTCTGCTGATTGAGGGGCCTCAAGAGTGAACTGGTAAAGGACCTGAGTGCAGTCCAGTAGGCCGTCACGAAATCACCACCAAACAAACCAAACAAAAAACCAAACACCAAAACCAAAAGCAAACCCACCAACGCAAAACAAAACACAGCAACACAAAACAAAACCGCAGAACCGAGGCGTGACAGGTGCCAGTTCATGGGCTAATTCATGCAAGAGATGATAACATTGTATCATCTCGACATGGTATGGCGGCAGAAACAAAGGGAAGAACATCAAAATCACCAAGCCATACCTGAAGGCGAGTGAAGCAACAAAAGCACCATGCGGAAACCAGGGATCCCCCCAGCCAGGATCCCCGAGATCACATGGCGCAAGCCGATAAGGCATAACAACTCACCAATAGTCACTTCGAAGCAAACAACGACAAAGCCGCGTCGCAACGAGAGTGGTGAAAAGAAAAGTGAGACGGACAGTGAAACAAGAGCTAATGTGAGAAAGAGCTAAAGTGAAACGGACAGTGAAACAGCCCTCCGGGTGCGCTCAGAGTCCGCTCAGTAGTGCTTTTCCGATCATCATACTCTTGAGTAGTTTCCTGTACTGGACAAAGGTGCTTGCTTGATGGGCATTGCGCCCAAACCGGCTCACTTGGAAAGCTGCCAGGGTTTGCGGTCGACTCTGGGACACTTGTACTCTTGCCAATAGTCTTCATGAGCTGGAAGATTGTGTTCATCATCTGTGCGTGGTGATATCTGTGCATTAAGCTCTTCCGATGACGTGCTTGCACCTTTGGCTGTATGTGGCAGAAGCAGTATGGCTTTTTGCGCTTGGCTAACTTCGTAACTGGCGGAGATTGTGCAACTATCTAAGATACAGCTCAATTGGCGAATTTGGCGTATGGCAGCTTCAAGGTCAGTGACCCTCGTCTTGGATACCTTGAAGCTTCTGGCATGCCTTGTCGAGCAGTTTGGTGGCGGCATCAACTTCACTGGTAGTGACTTGACACAGGGTCAATTGAGTAATTGACTTTGCGAGGCGATTGACTGCAGCAATACTAAAGGGCTAAACTGCACGGCAGGCGTAGAGCGGCTGTACAGTCCATCCATCAACGGCAGTGTTGTCTGCTCATTGGAGCAAGGTGAATTGACTAATTAATGCATTGACGTAGCCTATTCGTCGAAAGCCTCAAAAAGATGAGCTGGCGAGGACCGATACACAGTCCAAGGAGCCGTAACAATCCAAAAAGAAGCAAAGAAACCGCAAACAAACACCAACAAAAAACAAAACACAACCAAAACCCAAAAAACAAGTCTGAAACTTGGTGCCCTGTGTCCTAGTCTGTGTCTCTTGAAATGCCAAGTCGCAAGTCGGCTTCAGCTGCAATCCTTCTCTTTGTCTCGCTTGCATGTATTGTTCTGCCAGATCTTTGGACCAATGATTGGTCAAGGTTCAGGCCAAATTGCGAAAAGTGAAACACATCGAAAGCTGATTTTCCTTTCCGTCCAACGCCAGATGGCTCTCGCCAGGTCGTTCATCAAGCTGGAAAGACAATTGCATTGTGCAAATTCACCGAATCAATGCAGTAGCAAGATTGTCACAATGACAAGGTGATAAAAGAGAAGTGAATTGGATCGATACATAATCTATTGAGCTGTCACCGTCCAAGACAAAAAAGCAAACACCATTTTTTTTTCCCTCTGGTTTGGCCGATCACGGGCTCGGTCCTTACATGAGACGAAGCTGTTGGTAAGAAAACTGCTACATGGACGCCGGTGGTCGCATGAAGCTTGGCAAATCTTAACCAAAAAAACAACCAACACACCAACAAACAAAAACAGGGCAAGACGCAGATCCCCCAGCCAGATTTGCGTCTTACCATTCGAAAGACAGCAAAGCAAACAGCCAACGGGGCCAGAGCCCAACAAGAAAAACCACAAAAGATTTGCCAAGGACACAGTGGTGAAAACCCACTGTGTCACAATAAAGACAAAAACATGCAGCAAACGAATTATGCCACCCAGAAACGTGAGACATGCGAACTACGTGGTTGCCAGCAAGGCAACAAGAAGTCGCGTTTACTATACACTGTAAACTAACCTAGCCTCTCAGAGTCCACTCACAAGTACTTGTTCACGTGCCCAAATTCAGAGAAAGACCAAGTACCAGATGGCATAAACACCAGCAGGAGGACGATGACATGTATGGCCAGGTGTCTTGTGCCCCTCCCCATTGCGGGGAGCGGCCCAGTGGTGACGACAGCGCGGTCTCACGGGGCAAGGTGAGTGACCGTCCGTAACCAGCCACTAAAAACTTATGCACCTCCGGGTGGATATGACTTCCGTGCCAAGTCAAAAAGAAGACCGTTCCAGGCACTGTCAAGCGTGGTCAGCACCTGGTAGTGGCGCCTGTCGAAATGCTTGCAGCAGGTCAAGTCTCAACATCAAACAAGAATGCATTGCCTCGACGGCGCCAAACTGAAAAGTATCTGCAGAACTGTTCAGGTGCTCCCAGAGCGTCTTCGTCTCCGCAAAGTACCTGCAGTGCATTGCAACATAGCAAAAACCAAGGATCAGCCTGAAATCCAGAATACAGACCATGAGGGGCCATTCTCATAATGACACACAAGATGTCATCATGCATGAATTCCCAATGCTGGTAGCGATCCCACTTCTCTGTGTTTTGTTTGTTTTGGTTTGGTTGTGGTTGTGTTTTTTGGTTGTTTTTTGTTTGTTTGTTTGGTTTCCTTTGTTTCTGGTTGTGCTTTGCGTTTGTTTGGTTTCTTGCTGGGACAGCTCGCTGGACTGCGTACAGGTCCACTACCAGTACTTTTGTGGCTATCGACAAGTAGACAGCCTTGCATGATAATTACAAGTCATCTTTTTGCTGCGATTGAACGTGTGTAACGACCTGGCGGAAGCCATGAAGGCGTTGGACGGAAAAAAAATGAAATCCAGAATGCAGACCACTCTCCCGACGAGTGGGCCAGCTGATTAACCGCTGATTCGAGAAGGAAACTCACGATCTATGTGCGCGGCTTTGCTGCTCACGGGCGCTCCAGACTGTCCAGCAGGAGAGTGCCACTGGTTCGCGCCAGTGTAACTCGCTGCAGTGCAGCCTGGTCCATGGCTCCGGCCGACTACGACCTACTCCCCTTAAAGAAAAAGAAGCAAGTGCCAGAGGACCAAGCAAAAGAACAGCCAAGCCGAAACAACAACACAAACGAATTAAGAGACGAACCAACCCCCAACGGACAGAGGAGAAGGGTTTTTTTTCCGTCCAACGCCTTCATGGCTTTCGCCAGGTCGTTACACACGTTTAATCGCAGCAAAAAGATGAATTGTAAATTATCATGCAAGGCCGTCTAAACGTCGATAGCCTCAAAAGAGCACTGGTAATGGACATATGCACAGTCCAGTGAGCGGTCCCATTAAAAACAAAACCACAAACAAGGCAAACAAACAAAGAACATACAAAAACACAACAAAACCAAAACCACAAAGCACAGAGAAGTGGGATCGCTACCAGCTAGAGAAATAAGATGCACGATGACATCTTGTGTGTCATCTCAGTGCTCTGCGGATAGTCACACAACAACACAAAAGCAAAGACAAGGTGAACCGGTGAAGTCAACAGCACAAGTGAACCTGTCCAGTCTGCGGACAGACACATCAGTCCAATTGTGACAAAGGCCTTAGTGCGCAGGTGAAAGCAAAATATACGAGCGTACCTGTCCAGCAGAGAAGCCACCAACAGCAAAACACAAAACAGAGAAACCAGCCAGGGACGAACAACACAACGAAACCAAACAAACCAAACAAAACAAAAAACAGGCCGCGCCAAGAGGACAAACCAAAAACACACAGAAGGAGGAGCCACAAGCACCAGCCAAGACAAAGGACCATAATAGCGGGCAGACAAAGCAACAAAACGAGAGCGCGGGGGGAAGGAGACAAGTGGAGACTAGCAAGGCAGGAGAGAGCAGACGCCCGGGAAGGCAGCAGGACAGGAGGGAGAAAGCAGCACAAGCCAAGAACGCGGTGTTTTGTTTGTTTTGGTTTGGTTGTGGTTGTGTGGTTTTTGTTTGCTGTTTTCTTTTGTTTCTGGTTGTGTTTTTCTGGTTTCTTGCTGGGACAGCTCACTGGACTGCGTACAGGTCCACTACTAGTACTTTTGTGGCTATCGACAAGTAGACAGCCTTGCATGATAATTACAATTCATCTTTTTGCTGCGATTGAATGTGTGTAACGACCTGGCGGAAGCCATGAAGGCGTTGGACGGAAAAAAGCACAAGCCAAGAAGGCGGGCGCGTGCAGCTTTAGCGGTGTCCGAAGGGTAAACTGGATCACACAAGGGCGAATACCTCAGTGACGGAGCGAGGGGCACATGAACAACACCCACAACATGGTGTAGAGGGCAGAGCTCCACATAGGGCCGCAGCCTTTGTTGCCAGGGAGCGGAGTGAAGACAGGAGCCAATCAACCACGACACGCAATACCAAAGGTATGACAACCGGACCGTTGCAGATACAACCAGAATCGGAGGGAGGGACAGCAGAACACTGACTGGACCAGAAAACACCAGGAGATAACCAAGGGGGGAGGGGAGGGGGGGGGAACAGGAAAGAGCGGGCCAAACCGCAAGCACCAAAGCCACAAGGGCAAACAAAAGACAACAACCAAGGCAAGCAAGAGATGCACGGTTCC